AAATATTTATCATCAGCAGATGGTGGCCAGGGGCAAGCAATGCTGTCACTTCTTTCCGAACCTTTTTGAAATCACTATCATGGAGGGAGAGAGAGCCAAGCCCAGACCCTCCTTGCTCTGTGTCCTCCCAGGGCTGCTGGGGTGCAGACCTCAGGGCCTTTGAAAGAAGCCTGGCTTGTCACTATGAATAAGAAGAAGGTGGCAGAAAGTGGAGTAGAGGAGCCAGCAGGGCAGAGCAGACTGGGTGGCTCTGCAGGACGAGCAGGCTCAGGAGGGTGGCCGGAGCTGGTGGGGCAGCACTGGAGAGGCACCGCTCATGCAGGGCCTCTTCTACACTGTGACTAGGCAGAATCAGAAGCTCCTCAGGGGACACCAGGGGAGCACTGCTTCTACTTAGGGCTGGGCTAGATGGGAGGAGAACCCAGGAGGCCTTTGCCTGTCTGGAGACATGTGCACTCTCCAGAGGCCTGTGTTGACCTTCCTGTAGAGCACCCCACAGCTCCTAGACCAAGGATGGGTGGCTAATGTGAGTGTTCCATGTGGGCTGGAGTCCTGTGTGTGTGTGTGTGTGTGTGTGAGAGAGAGAGAGAGAGGAGAGACAGCCAGAGGACAGAGACAAAGATAGCTAGAGAGGAAAGAGAGCAAAAGAGAAGAGAGAGGAAAGACAGAGACAGCTAGAGAGAGGAGAAAAAGAGATGCAGGGGGTAGTTGATTGTTGAGAAGGAGGTGCTGGCCAATGAGGCAGCATTGATCACCCCAAAACAGGAAAAGAAATTGTGGCTCCGTAAAGCAAAAGGTGACTTGATTATTCCTAGTCAAATGTGATCTTTACTGATTCTTCAAGTGCATGCTGATTTCTAACCTCCCTCTTTAGGGATGTTTTAAAAGGTGGTAACCTTGAGTTATGACCAGGGTTTCCTTTAGCAGGCTGGGATTCTGGCACAGCTGGTTCCATTCAACAAGTACTTTATTTTTTTAATATTTATTTTTGTAGTTGTAGTTGGACACAATAACTTTATTTTATTTATTTATATGTGGTGCTGAGGATCAAACCCAGGGCCTTGCACGTGCGAGGCAAGGGCTCTACCGCTGAGTCATAACCCCAGCCCTCAATAAGTACTTAAAGCAACCACTCTGTGGTAGACCCTGTGGGTGATGTGTGGCACAGAAGCAGTGAGCACAGTCCCTGCTCTTGACCACCTTATCAACTTGTGTGGAGACCAGGGTTATCGAAATGAACCGAATGTGGGGAAAACATGAAAGACTAATGATAGGAAACTAGGGTTTCTTGGCCTAAAAGTGTGTTCATTGCTGTGGGTGCAGCCTGGGGTGGGAGCTACCCACCAGGCCTTCATGACTTGAGATCTATGCTGCCCTGGGAGAAACCCCTGGGGAATTTGCCGGTTTGTACCCAGAGCATCCACACGTGGGGTTGTTATCAAAGCTGCTTCCTTGTGGGTGCATCCCAGTCACAGCCTTTTGGAGGTGGTGTGTGACACTTGGTTGCTAGGTGACCCCCTTTGGGAACCTCATTCAGGGAGGACTGTCACCTGCCCCTGGAGAAGTCAAGCAACTGGGGATAATTCTCCCCCCTCCCCCCACCCCCCAAATGGTTTCATGACAATGGGGGTGGAGTGTGGAGTCCCGGCGCTGGTGCTGAAGGGGTAATGCCATGTGGTATATCATCTACTGCAAGAGTTTTTTAGGCAAAAGGAATTGGATCCTTGTCCTCTGTGGTGCTGCCACCCCTTCTGTCTGCCTGCTCTTTGAACCCCTCTCTGCCCCAGCTGTCTGTCATCTTGGGCTCTCGGCATTCTCTCCAGACACCCCTTCCCTTCCCGTCTTTCCTCATTCCCACCAGTCCTCTGATTCTGTGGCTTCTGTGGTGACCACAGGTAGGCCTGCATCCAGCCTCCCTCTGCACGCAGATCTTGACAGGGTCAGCCTTGACTTCTGCCCACGAGTCCCAGCTGAAGGCATCATTTCACAGTCACCTTTGACCCCTTCCTCCTGTCACCTATGAGCTGCCCCTGAGGGTTGTAGTCTCTCATTTCCCCTCTCTCTGCATTCATTTGCATCTCAGCCACTGTTTCAAAACGTTTAAAATCATATATTTATTTATTTTGCAATAAAACATCGCCTTTCTTACACCTCAAAGGATCTTCCTTGTAATGAAGAAGATGCAGAGAGAGTGGCCACTCTGGTTGTGGTTGGCTTGTGGCCTTCTTTCTGTCTCTGCCCAGCTCTTCCTGTACTCTTGCCCTCTGGTGACCCCGAGGGACTCCACCCACACGAAGACCTCAGCCACCTACCAGCCTGTGACAGTTGACTGTGACAGCCTCTTCAGCCATTTCCTTATTCCTGCTTCATCCAAAGTGATTACATCTGAGACCCAAAGAGGCTCAACATTCCTTTGATAACTTGTCACAGTTTGCAGAACAAAGCCTGGACTAGTACTATCTTCATTCTGACCCCAGTCACCTCTTTGTCTTCACATCTGTTTTCCTGGCTCCATGCACCATTGCAGTGGTCCTGCGGGAACGCCTGGATCCCCTGACTTGTGAAGCCTCTGCACACTGTTTCTGCTTGAGCTCTTCCTTCTGCTGGAGATGCCGTTGCCCTTGCTTCTGCATGCTTGGATCTGGCCGCACGTTGCCTTCATAAAAACCTTTCTTGGGTTTCCCTCTCATCTCATGCAGTTGGTCACTTCTTCCTCTCTGCTCCTGTGACATTCCATGCATACTTTTTAAAAGTTGCAGTTATCTCATTGCTTTATAGTCATGTTAAGGGCAGAGACAGTGTCCTATTTATTTTCGAGTCCCCAAAGCCCCCGGCCCAGTACCTAGGACCTAGCAGTATCTGTTCTTTGTTTTTGAATACACAAATAAATGAACTTAACATGCTCGTTAAAGCCCATATGTACAGAGCACCAAGCCATCTTTTGCCTCCCCTTCCATTGGCTCATCATTCTTAAGAGCTGAGTTCTGTGTTTGTCTGTCGGCCACCTGACAGCCTAAGTAAGAAGGCAGCGGTCTGAGAACACTGTGGTTGAACTGGGCCTGACTCCTCTCAAACTGCTCCTTTCCCCATAATGCTGATTACCCTGTCCAATCTCAGACCCTAAACTTCTGACCCACACCAGAGGGATTTCAGGAGCACCCCGTGGCACCCAGGCCCTAAGCGCTGTGCTAGTTCAGGGTCAAGGCTTCCTGCTGGCCTTGGCTTCAACATCCTGCCCCCGTCTTTTGCTTCACTTTTCCCCTGTGGGCCTGGTTGTCTTTCCCAACTCTGGGGCCTTGGTGGCATCCTAATCTGCACCCATCACTCTAGCACTGGAGCTGCTCCCTTGCTGGGCGGTTCTTGCTGCTGAGCCCCAGTCTGGTGATTGGTGCTTCTTCCTATTGAGAGATTTCCTTCTTGCTAACTCCTGAGCATATCACATTGTATTTACGGACATCTTAACTTTAACCTTCATCCCACATGCCATCTGCTTATCTGGATGTCTCCTGTCTTCGTTTGCCATTCCTGCATGTTACCCCTGCAGGTGTGCATGCCAGTCCCTGGCCATGGGACATTCTAGCTCTGCCTCAGAGCATGGAGTCAACACACCCTCTGGGGAAATAAACTGGCCATTGACTCCTCATCAGCCCTCCACGCTGGAGTTCATCTCCAAGTCCCTTTAATCCACCTTGCACAGTCCCGAATAGTGCCCATTCAACATCGTTCTAATCCTAGTACCTGGCTTCTCTCACCCGAGTTACTTCAAATGCATCTTAACAAATTTGCCAAGTCCTCTCCTGAGGCCTTGGAAGCATTCGCCACACTTTACCTGGAAAGATCTTTTAAAGATGAAGTACTATTTAGTTACATCACCGTCCTGCTTATACCTCTTCCAGGTCTTAGGAATAAAGATCAAAATGGGAGAATGTTGGAAACATGGCCTTCACAGCTGTGTCTTCCTGGCTCCTGCCCAGCTTCCTGTTCAGGCTTTGGCCATTGTCCCCTTTCTTTTAACACATGCCCCGGGTTTCCTCCCACCCTAGATCTTTGAACATGTTGGTACCTTTGCTGTACCTCTCTTCTTCACAGTGCCTGCCTGATGCCCACCTCCCCCAGAATCTTCTGTGAGCTTCTCACCTGTGTGCTCATGGCTCCCTGAACAGCCCCAAGCACTTATCACAGTTTTTAATTATATAGTTGTAATCATCTATTAATGTGTTTTCCAGGCTTGACTCTAGTGAGGCCTAAGGACAGGAGACTTGTCTGTTTGCTCACAATTTTATTCAGCCCAGTGATTAACCTGTAGTCAGTGTGGCATGCATATTATTAGTTGAAGTGAATGACCCCAGTGTGACCCTGCCTGTCCTGTCCCACAGAAGTTAACTGGGGCTGTGCATGGCATGCCCTAGATATGATGCTGTATCGCTAATCTTAAACACACATGCCACCTTGTAAGGGAAAAAATCGTGAAGCAAATGTACCAAATGAAGCTATTGAAATTCCTAGTCCGCATTTTGCATTGTTTGAAGTATTTAGATACACATTCTTACTGTGTACTGTTCTCAGTGTAAGGATTTTGATAGTTATTATATATAACTTGTGCTCTAGGTTTACTACACTTCCTTGGATTCAGAGGCAGGGGAAAGTTCATCTCTTAATGTTAATTGCTTTCTTGTTTTCTTTTTATGTTACTGGGGATGAAACCTAGATTCTCGCTTGCATATAGTAGACAAGCACTCTGTCATTGAGCTATATACACCCAGCCCCATTTCTGCTCTTTTTAAAATGATTTTTTGTTGTTGTTGTTTTTTTGACTATTGGATTGTGTTGTGCTTAATTAGTAAAGCTAAATTAGACATTTTGTTATACATTTATATATTACACTCTATTTTATATAGTATGTATTTTTATTTGTACTGTATGTTAATACATGTGATATATACTATATTTTATATGCATAAAACAAAATTTATATCTCCTCTCTTTTTTTTATACCACAGTGGTAATAGTCCATATTCCTCATTTGGAGCAACTCTGGCAAGGGATGACGAAAAGAATTTGTGGAGTCTGCCTCATGATGTATCCCACACAGAGGCAGATGATGACAGAATCCTGTACAATTTGATAGTCATTCGTAATCAGCAGGCCAAAGACTCAGAGGTAAGCACCTTTTGACATCTCACTGTGTGCAGATGATACCAGACAACGGAAAATAGCAAATTACAAGAAGACCCACTTGAAATAAAGAATGAAGGACAGGATGAGGGTTTTTGTTTTGTTTTGTTTTGTTTTGTGAGATGATGTCTTGCTATGCTGCCCTGGCTGGTCTCAAATGCCTAGTTCTAAATGATCTTCCTGCCTCTACCTCCCAGGTAGATAGGACTACAGGTGCACACCACCAAGCTCTGCTTACTGATGAGCTATTTGAAATGAAGGGCAGGTATTTATTGGCATATATTATCACTAGTTGCTAATTATAGCTAGTCTTGATAGACCTGCTTGATACCACAGATAAGACTCTTTTCTAATAATTACCTTAACGGAACAAATTACACGCAGGGAAGTGCTGCTTAAGAGCAGGGAGATAGATGGTCTTAAATAACTCCAATAGTCCATCTCTAATCTTTCCAGTTGTTTAATAAGGTAGGTGATTGAAACTGAAATTTGAAGGATGCTTTGCATTATCACTAATTCTGAATTAGTGGGGCCTGAATGAATGTTTTTTTTTTTTCTTTTTCTGTTGAAAGCTTCTTAAATTATTCATGTTTATTTGACAGCAATAGTTGTGCCATATTTAGGATGGTTTTTATGATGGGGCTTGAAACCACCCTTGACGATGCTGAATCACAGTTATTGAGTGATAGGGCATTCAATGGGAGGGACTCTAAGTTAAAATAGCAAGGCAGTTGGGGTATTGTTCTCCTTTCTTTCAAAAGTAGCATTTGAGTATTATGTAAAATATTATATAACCTCATTTTCAAGTAATGCCACCTGTCTGACTTCTAGATTTGTCAGTAAGCTCTGAGTAGATGTCTGTGTTAAGTGCATGCTACATGTTACTTTGTATCCCACAGCAATTGAGCACAACAGGGCAAGTTAGCACCCCGGCTCTGGCTTTGAAGAAAAGCTAGTGGTGTATAGTGTGTAGTGGGAATCTTCTGTTCCTAATTTGGTTTTTTTTTTCCCTCTAATTATTGCTATTTTATTTTATTGCTCAAAAAATTTAGTTTAGCAGTAGGTCATAACTTTTGGAAGTGTCATGTGTTTGGACCTTGTATTCTGGTGCGTGTTGGATGATGCCTTTAGGGGTCAGCAGTGGGGTGAGGGAAAGCTGACGGCTGCCTCTGGTTCTGGAAGGCTGGGGAAGGGTGGGCTGGAGAGCCCTGAAGGGGCTATTGACATGTAGTATCCTGCTAGTGGCCGGGCACCGTGCTGTTTCTGGCTTCCCATCCCCAGCAGATTCTCCTTCTTGCCTAGTAACACTGAAAGCAGGTCACAGAGGCTGCTGCTGCCAAGAACAGCCTTCGCTGGCTGCTGTTCCTGAGCCTGTGAAGGGAACACGTGGCCTTGTTTCCCTTTAATGGGAAGAAGAATCCTGTTTTTTGGAAGGGGTTTTGCTAGTGAGTAGGGAACCGGTTCTTTTATCTTCCTCTTCTCTGATCCTACCTAAAGTAGTAAGGGCATAAGGGAAATAGTGTATAACACCCCTGACACACACACACACACACACACACACACACTTCCATGCAAATGTGAAGCTGGAGCCGGGTAGCTCTCTGCTCTCCCTGGAGGAGCTCCTGCCCCTCTGCCTGATTGGTGTCCACTTTTGAAAAGATAGAAGAGGAGACCACAGGAACCCCAGAGGGCTCTCAGTAAGCACAGACTCCAGAATGGCCGTTGTGTGTTTTCTGTGCTGGCCCTGGTGTCTGGTGTGAAGGGTCATCCAGGAGGCCTTTTTTCCTTCTTGCTGAAGAAATGGAGTCAAGCTTGACTTGAGAGGGACTCTGTTACCAAGATAAGCAATCAAGTAACATGAAGATGTGGTGATAATCACACATAATATGATTTGAGGTATCCCTGTTCAGAGTGCTTCTGTTTTTTTTTTTAAGTATGAAAGTAATATGGCTAATAAAAAGTTATTTGTATTTTCTTCTAAAAATTTAAAATGCAAGCATATATTAATATATCTATTCATTTTCCTTATGGATTGGATCATTTATTACATACTGTTCTATACTTTACCTTTTTCTACTTCATATATTTGACACATTTCTATTTTAGTAGCTTAGAATTACCTTACTCCTTTGGGGGACTCTGGTATCTTTCGCATGGACTTACCATCTTTATTTGAACAGTTCCTACTTATATTTATGTTAATTTGGTTTTGTTGTATTTTATTTGTATTATAAACATGCTGCAGTGGACATCCATAGAAATTTGGATGATCTTTCATAGTTTTTTTTTCCAGGAATAGGATTGCTGGGCCACAGTATGCATTCAGAATATTGGAATTATGACAATGCTTCCTTTTTGGAGGAAACGAAGAAAAACACTTCAGAGTGTAGAACAGAGGCTGCAGTCTCAGAACCCTCCAGCAACTAGGTAGTAACATCAGTGGGACATTGAAGTGGGATCCCCCACCCTCAATCCCAACCCTGGGCCAGCATATTGAAAGGCTTTGAAAACTACATTGTGCTGATGGGAGGAGTTGCTAAGCTCCAGAGAGCTATTTGCCCTGCTGGGAATGCGGACCCACAAATGTTGGAACTTTTGATTTTTAAAGGGGTTGAGAGCTGGGGATGTAGCTCAGTGGTAGAGTACTTGCTTATCATGCACAAGACCCTGGGTTCAGTTCCCAGCATGGGGGGAAAAAAAAGGAAATCAAAGAGAAGCTGAAAAATCCAAAGTTTCATATAAAATGGCTAGATTTTAAAGTAGCTTATGTTTAAAAAATGTCATCCAACAAAGTATGTTAATGGATTACTGATGCATAAGGACATGTACTTACGTATTACTACTTATTTTTTTATCCAGTATAATTGAAAACGAGCTTGCCATTGATTTAGAGAATGAAGGAGTAAGTTGGTGGGGAGTTAAGTTTGAATAAGTCCATATTTTTTTTTTTTATCATTGCGTATTTTCTTTTTCACACATGATAACAGAGGATTAGATTTTAATAAAACAGAAGCTTTGGGTTTTGAAAGATAATCAAATTGTACATAAGGAACAAGGAACCTTAGATATTTTTGCATGTTACACTTTAGAAGCTCAATCAAGATATTCAGGAAACAGACAAAATGTTTTTCCTTGAGTATCAGCTTGTGAAAGACCTAGGAAGGTCCATATTTGCAGTTCTCTGAATAAATGAAAAATAATTATACAAAAGTATGTGTCCTATTTACATTCCCCCTTCAAATCTGAAGTGGATAGAGAAGACTTAAGGCTAAATTTACAATGTTCCAAATTGAAAAAATAGAAGAGAACATATAGAAAGGAAGCAAATAATGAAGAAAAGGCGTGGACTTAAAGTAATTTGCGGTGTCAAAAATGTAAAAAAGTAATATTTAAATCTGCTACACTCTACTTCCATTTACACAGGCCTTCAAGAGCTAATGGAAAACAGACTTTCAGCAGAAGAAATAATGCATTGGCAGCCATCCAAGTAGTGGAAGATTATTGCTCTTGTTTTTGAATGATGCCATAAAATACTTTATATTTGACTAAGAAATAGTAAACAATCTCAAAATCATGTCACTAAACCATTATCTTTATGTTCTTTCTCATTAAACTAGTTGTACTTTACATAACACACTGTTCTAGGGAGGCTAATAATTGCTAGTGATCTATCAATGCCCCTGATTTATGTATTTTTATAAACCATCATAAGTATACTGAGTGATCTTATCCTCAAGATATTAATAATAATGAACACAGTGCCAGGCACTGTTCTTTCCAGTTTGCATACATTAGCAATGGCCCTTAACAACAACTTGGTCAAGTGGGTACCATTATGATGTCCATTTGGGGCACTTTATCCAGAGCCACACAGCTGCTAAGTTTGAAACCAGGATTTGAAGCTGGGCTTTGTGAATCCAGAGACAAAAGAGATAATGAGTATCATGATGGAAACTGCAGTGGAGAACACATACTATCTGTAATGAAGTAATTGTAGATTTCAAAATTCGTCAGCAGTCTTTCTGAAGCCTCTGTCTGACTAGTTGAGGCTGTGCATATGACAAGCCTTTCACATGGGTGGGAGGAGAGCCATGGTTTGCTTGAGGCTGTTGGCCACGTTGCAGGAAGTGGTCCTGGCCACAACACGTTTCCAGAGTTCTGCTTTTCCATGTCGGTTGCAGCTGGTTAAGGCCCATTCCCTGAGTGTGCTGTGTGGTTGGCTCCACAGTGGGTGTCTCACTGTGCTCATTTCCTTGCCTTCTGCTGTTTGGTGTACTGTACTGTTTCGCTGTGCATGGTGCAGTAACAGTTCCCTTAGGCCTTTGAACATGATTGCTTTTAACTTTTTTTTTTCTTTCCTGTACTGGAGCTGGAACTCAGGTCCTCATACATGCCAGGCAAGAACTCTAGTACTGACCTGAACCCCAGCCCAGCTTTTATATTTTTGATCAAGAAAATAAATACTGTTAGATCATTCTCATAAACACTTTAAAGCACCGTTTTGGTTAAAAAATAGGTGATGTTTATTAGGCATAATGGATGATAGAAATTCTGTGGTTACTATTAGTGTTATTTTGGTACCAGGTATTGAACTCAGGGGCACTCAACCACTGAGCCACATCCCCAGCCCTATTTTGTATTTTATTTAGAGACAGGGTCTCAATGAGTTGCTTAGGGCCCTTGCTAAGTCACTTAGGTTGGCTTTGAACTTGTGATTCTCCTGTCTCAGCCTCCAGAGCCACTGGGATATAGTGCGCCACCATGCCTGGCTCTGTGGTTATTTTTAAAGCTTTTAAGTAATTCTGTGCTCAAAGAAGGATGTAGTTCTCATGAGGAGTGCCTGTCTCCTTGTCAGTGAGTGAGGCAGTGTTTACACATCAGCAGAGCCACATGATCACCAGATGCTTGGTGACTGGAGTGATCCCATGAAAACCACATCTGCTGAACCCTGGGTGAACAGCTAAATAATCACTTTGTTGGTTTGT